GGACCGCAAATCCCGCTCGCGTTCTTCGTCGGCTAACCCACGCCATGCGGAGAACCCAGCGTTACATCGCACCCGCGTAATTTTGGCGATTTCATACGCCTCAGTCTCGGGCATTCTCTCCGGGATGTGCCTCTTGTTTGCCAAGAGTGGGGTGGAACTGTTACTTTTGACGTTGGGTGGGGATAATCAGTTCTGGAGGTGGCAGGCGTGGATGCTGGTGCTCGGCTTGGTCGGGTTTGCATTGCTCCAGCTGTGGTATCTGCATAAGGCTCTGATTCTCGCAGACCCAACACTCGTTTGCCCCTGTGCGTGTCTTGCGAATATCCGAAGTCCCTTTCTGCGCTAACATCACTGCCTAGCTGCTTTTTGTTTCTACAATCTGTCGTCGATCGTCAACGGCCTGGTCTACTTCGACCAGTTTTCCTTGATCCCTCCAGCACATCTGGCCCTCGTCATTTTGGGCATCGTCATCCTTCTCGGAGGAGTATGGGTTGTCAGCGTCCAATCCGGCAGCACCGGAGGAGACTCGGATACATGTAGTGATTCATCGTCATTGGACACGAGGACCTCCGCAGAGGCCCAGTCTCCGGATCCGTTCCTTTCGCAGAGCGTGCCTTCTGCTCGTGATCTGGAGAGCAGGCCCTGGAGTCCGCTATCGACCGCATCCCAGCCCCTGCCGTCGTTGGCATCGGTGCCGAATATGTCGGCGTCTGGTTCTCGTCGCCGATCGCATTTGCGCTCGCAGACGATTACATCTCCCCCGCCGCCGAATCCCGTGACATCCTTGAGCGGAGGGCTGCAGATTGGGTTGTCGCCTGTGAGCCCAGGATTCTCGATTCGACCGCGTCGAATGCCGAGCGGATTCGGTCGCGGACAGGAGGACGAAGGAGATGGCGTTCGGACGAGGGATCACCGACGACGCACTGTCAGCGAGGGCGATGCTGCAAGAACAAGGGACGGCATCGAGAGGCCACTGCTTGATTCCGAAGCAGGGATTGATCCTCCCCCGACCGTGGATCAGCGCTCCAAGGGAAAGTGGAAATGGCGCATCTGGCGGTAAAGTGAAGACGGAGCTCTTTTACCCATGCATCTCACCCTCATATACCACGAATCTAGATAGTCACCACTCTAAGTACTCGACATGAGACCCCATATATAATTTGTGAATTACACAGCGTCCGCGATCACGTGTCCGTTGTGCCTTTCCCCTCCCTCTTGGTTGAAAAGGAGATCCGTTGTCCATTCACCGGCACAAATTCGAGGTTGCAATGAAAGACGTCGTATGCGAGAAAATCGCGGGAACGGCGATATCATCGGCCCACGAGTCCCTCTGCCTCGGATAACCTTGTCATCCAATTGTCAGTCTCACGATGCACCCGACGGCCGAAGAGCTTTCCCTAATGCTTCATACGGCCCTCTCACGGACTTTTGCATCTGAGCATCCGGGCCAGAACAAGCGGCTTGGGTACGACTATGACTGCTTTCGGGTTGCGCTGCGTAGGGTTAAAGCCATACCTGCCGGCTCCCCCGCACGGTGATTTGGCGAGGACAGACTCTAGCAGCTGTCCGATGACGTTTGAGAGTCTTCGGGTGCAATATGTTGTTCGTAGCCTCGGGGCTAAATTAATGAAATATCCTGCGGGTGTGTAATTCATCCAGTGCTGAGCATGATTACAAGGGCTTCCTCGCAGTGACTACGACGATCTTCGGGAAGCAACCGACTTGCTTCTCAGCTGTTTCGATGAATGCATCCCGCACTAGGCCTTCGAATTCGTTCATGTCCACTACAAGGTCCGGCCTGTCCTTCTGGGCTGTTGCAGCGATGGGCAGCATCCCGAGCAATTCGCCATCAGCAAAGGCTCGTCCCAGCGCTCTGTCGATGAACGGGACGCGTTTTGTAACATGCACGTATCCAGACTCGGACAGGATTGAGTCAAGGCGATTGACCCACTGACGAGGTTCAGACCGCGAGAATATATCATATCTCGTCAAAGACCCCGCGTACCTTGGGACATTTCCATTCTGAGATCTGCCAGGTTTTGCTTGCCGCGCGGGGGAGCGCTTGGGGGATGTAGCCTGGTATCGCGCTCTCGAACGTCGTTTCGTCGAGCGCCATTTCGACCCACTGGATGTGTCCTCCTGGTTCTGTGACAATGTCAGCGCGATTCCGGTGGGTTTTCGGTCCATGACATACTGAGCAAAGTCATCATATTCTTTGCGACAGCGGAGACTCTCTCGTCATCGACGAAACACACCACCAGCGACACATGCACGACATCGTATTTGCCCACCAGATCATTAGGAATGGGCTCAAAAAGATCAAGTCGCGTCACGTCTTTAATATTCGAGGGAAGCCAGCCAGTCGGAGGTCCTTGTCCCAAGTTCAGGTCGAATCCTTGAAGGTTAGTCGAAGGGTCGACTTGAGATGCCAGATCTATCAGCCACATGCTGGGTCCACTGTGAGCAAATCGCCCTGGCCAACAACAGCCATTCACTGACCAAGTTCCGCACGGAATATCGGCAATGAGTAGGTTGGCGTCTTGATACGGGATATGGGGTTCCAGCAGCTGTTCACCCAGGGCTTTGCGCACCAGCGAGTGTTGGAGGTTGAGTCTGGTGCACTTCATTCTCGAGTTCCCATCTTTGCCGTCCGACTCACCCAACAGTGGAGGTGTATGTAGTTCCGAGGATGTAATTTCCCATGGACGTTTGAGCGACGAAGACGATCCGGGACCAGCGTAAGATTGGCTTGCTTTAAAGGATTGTGTCATGACGTTCAATTTGCATTAGCACGTTCCTAGAAACTGACATCAAGAACGACCTTAGAACGTATAATTCTTTGAGCCGAAGAGGGCGCCACATTGACATCCGAGGAAGCAAAACTTGGCAGCTCGCGGAGATTGGGTTTAAAAACCAGCGCCAGACAACTCAGCCACGCGTGAAAAATGCCCATCCTTTACCGCGAGCCTTACAGAGCCCAGTTCTTCGACCACGTGCCCAGCGACGGCGTTACCGTGCCCGTCCGCGATTACGACTCCTATGTGATGTTTCCGGAATACCGGTGGGCGTATAACAAGCTGAACATCGCCGAGAAACAGGGTCTGTTGTGCGGTCCTCGTAAGCATATACCTAGCGAACAGAAGCTCAGTTGGACTCACCTAGTCGGTTTCGAGATGGCGTGCCACCTCCCCATTATCCCATCTTCAGCAAGCCAATCTACAACCTCAACACCATGGGCGTAGGTACACGGCTGCTGATCGACGAGGACGACTACCTGGAGAACAGGACTGCAGGCCACATGTGGTGCGAGTATCTCACGGGAGATCACCTCAGCACGGACATCGCGGTCTGCCGAGGGCGTGTCGTGTGGATGTCTACCACCCGTGGACACGCATTGAAAGGGGGAACGTTCGACTACTGGGACGTCAACGTGCCGGTGTCCGACTCAGACAGGGCATATTTGGTGCATTTCGTCGAGAAGCACTTCGGGACTTATAGCGGGATGATCAATGCCGAAACGATTGGGGGACATATCATCGAGGCGCACCTTCGTTTCGCGGACCAGTGGACGGACCTGTACCCAGCCGGCTTCGTCAAGGCTCTCGTCTGGCTCTACTCGAACTCCTCAGATCCGTGGCGCCCCGACAAAGAGATGCAGGCCAACACTGTCAAAGGCTATAGCGTGATACTCTTCAAGCCGCACGGACGCCGCATGTGGAGCAAGCCCTGTGATGAGCGCGTGCAACAGATTCTCGAGAAGTATCAGCTCTCTAGCATCCAACTACCCTTCGCTGCAGATCAGCCTACACATCGCGCTTCGATGCCCCCGGGTGGGTTCAGGGTGGCCTGTTTGAATGGAAGAGATCTGGAGGACTGTTTCAAGGCCAGAAAGGAATTGGACGAGTTATTTGATGAGGCCAATCCTCCAGAAGAGGTCGGCATGGCTTGCGGAAAGTGATCGAGTAGTGCTCCAATACCTGTAGCGAGTACGAAGAGCGCTACTTAGAAGCATTGATGTCGACAAACATGTGCCATTAACGGCAAGATAAGATTTCCGACCTACCCCACAGAGGCAGACATATAATTCCAAATAGGGGCTTGACAGTCCCACTTTGGTCTGCACAGCCGCGCGATCCCTCGACGTTGAAGCAGATCTGCCGGAGCCTATGCCTGCACCACTTGAAGTGTTTTACCGATTTTCCGCTGAGTTTCCGAAGCTATTAGAACTCGTGAGAGGCACCTGCTTGTACCCCCGCCTGTCTCGATCACGTGCCGATATGCCATTCACGTGCCGACAGCCCACTCCCATGTTCTCCGCGCGCTTGGCAGTGGTCAGCGGACTGAAGCCAGACACAGCTGGGCCACCAGCGAAACACCGGCCATCCTTGGCGTTGCCTTGCTGTCTCTCGTATCCCGACATTGTACCGCTGGTGCCGATAGATCCTTCATCGTCCCGTGCACAACACCTGCGCTCACTTACCGATGTATCTCCTTGTCGGACACTTTGGCCATGGTATAAAGGCTGGTGCTCTCTGAATGTTGGAGGCCAGACTCGGAACGCGATCTTCAGAAACACTCGGTGCGTCTTACCATCCACTGTTGGTTGTTGGTGTACTCGATTTCACACAAATCGCAGCCATGTTTCCATTCAAATCCTTGACTTCTCTCTGCCTGCTCGCTGCGGCGCTCTCGGCCTCGGCCCAACAAGCTGGAACCTTGCAAGCGGAGAACCACCCGACCCTCCCGTCGCAAAAATGCACTGCTGGAGGCAGCTGTTCGACTGTGCAGACCTCTGTCGTGCTCGACTCCAACTGGCGCTGGCTGCACTCGGTTAACGGAAGCACCAACTGCTACACCGGAAACACCTGGAACACGGCCCTGTGCCCCGACCCCGCGACTTGCACCGCCAACTGTGCTCTGGATGGTGCTGATTATTCTGGGTGCGTTATCTGACATCGTCATTGTTGGATTGGGTCGCTCATGCTGTGCGAAGAACGTACGGTATCTCGACTTCGGGCAACGCGCTTACTCTCAAGTTTGTCACTGGCGCCAACATCGGCTCCCGAGTGTACCTGATGGCCAACGCCACGTCGTACCAGCCCCTGAAGCTGCTGAACCAGGAGTTCTCGTTCGATGTTGACATGAGCAACCTCGGATGTGGGCTCAACGGCGCGCTCTACCTGACTGAGATGCCGATGGATGGTGGAATTTCTGCTACAAACAAGGCTGGTGCCAAGTACGGAACGGGATACTGCGACAGCCAGTGCCCTCACGATCTCAAGTTCATAAACGGAAAGGTGTGTGATCAGCCGTCTACCGGGTGAAAGACTGGTGTGTTGAATGATGATCTACAGGCCAACATCGTTGGATGGGCTGGTTCTCCGAACGACACCAATTCGGGAACTGGGTCGATTGGAACTTGCTGCAACGAGATGGACATCTGGGAAGGTATGTGGAGCGCACATATAAGGTTGAGCAGCTTCTGACTCTGCTTCCAGCCAACAAGAACGCGGCCGCCTACACTCCTCACGTCTGCTCTAAAGCCGGCCTGTACGCCTGCAGCAGTGCAACCGAGTGCGGTGACGGCAGCAACCGTTACGCGAGCGGCAGTATCTGCGACAAGGACGGTTGCGACTTTAACTCGTACCGCATGGGCGACCAGACTTTCCTCGGCCCGGGCAAGACCGTCGACACCAACTCCAAGTTCACTATCGTGACCCAGTTCGTCGCGCCGAGCGGAACTTTGACTGAGATCAAGCGGCTGTACGTCCAGAACGGCAAGGTGATCCAGAACTCGAACACCAAGATCGCCGGGATCACGCCGGCAGTCAACTCGATCACCGACTCGTTCTGCAACGCCCAAAAGACGGCCTTTGGCGACACCAACTCGTTCGAGAGCCGCGGTGGCTTGAAGGCGATGGGTGCTGCCCTGCAGCGTGGAATGGTCCTTGCGCTCAGTCTCTGGGACGACCACGCCGCTGGCATGTACTGGCTCGACTCGTCTTACCCTACGGCCAGCAACCCCTCGACTCCTGGTGTTCTCCGCGGCCCGTGCAGCACCACCAGTGGCGATCCGAAGACCGTCGAGGCTTCCCAGGGAAGCAACTCCGTCGTCTTCTCCAACATCAAGTGGGGTGACATCGGCTCGACCTTCGGTGGCTCCAGCACCAGTCCCAGCGGACCCGGCTCGACGACCACGGCTCCTTCCAGCCCGACTGGCGGATCTATTGCCCAGGTCGGTCCCTCTGTTTCTTGCGAAGCCTGTGCGTCTTACTGATCGACTTTCGCAGTACCAACAATGTGGAGGCTCTACCTTCACTGGCTCTGGAAGCTGTGTCTCTGGCACCACCTGCACTGTCATCAACCCCTGTAAGCAGCCACCTTCGAGCCTGATTTCAAAGCTGACCGACCCTCCCAGTCTACTGGCAATGTCTGTGATTCTGCTGAATAGTCCGCATAAATCCACTATACACACGTCAATGTAATCTACTCGCGCTCTTCAAATCGAGTCGTACTTTATCCACAGTCACGGGACCGCGTCTTGCGCATGTGATCGGATGAGATCCAGTCGAAAGATTTGAAGCTAACAAATGATACACTCTGCCTCTGGTCTTGCTAATCGCGCTTCAAGGCGAAATCGCAGTGTCTCATCCGGATATATATACGGACATCCCCTGATCGTGGAAATTGTAAGCGGGTGGCTTGGGCGGTTACTTGAGCAAAATTGAACATACGCATATTGAAGCCCCCCAAGACCACCATCATTATCCGAGCCATCAAGTAGAACCACAATGTAACTGCGCAGATGTCCTCTCGGATGCGGTTTCAGCTGATCATTGGCTTTGAGCCGCATCGACAGCGTCGGTCGCGGCCGAGATTTCCCTGCGCCGAAAATTCCGCGCGCAGGTGTTCCAATGGGCCATCTGGCTCAGATGGTGGCGGGATAAGTAGTCGCGAATCAATCCAGGATGGGGGAGAGTGTTCCAGCAAGCCGAGCGTGACATACCATGTCCCTGATGGTGGCATGCCTGGTCGCCGATTCTCGTGGGGGGAAACGTAGAAAGCCAGTCTCCACATCCGACTCCGCGCAATGAATTCTAACACGATGCTCTTCCCGAGGAGCATGCGCTTCTGGAAGTGCGGTACCGCAAAGTCGACAACAAACGCGCCGGAACCGGCCCCATCCGTCTCTGTGGGCGCAACATTCTCGACCGTTATATCATCGTGAGGAACGGTGGCATCGAGAATCATTTCGTCGGTCGCACTAAGCGGTGAGAATTCAGGAGAGCTCCGCAGCCGCTGGAAAAGCAGTTGGTCGGAATTGAGCAGGCATGCTAGTCGCACGTCGGAGATGGTAGCAGGAGTGAGAGGTGAGGCCAAGCTTATGAGAGCGCTGAGCAAGTCAGTCCCCTGGAGCTGGTCGGATTCTACATCGGAGGGCCGCTTCACAACCGCCCAGTAGATAGGTGTGTGTCCCTCCACGCTCTTCTCCTGCAGCACAGAGCTGATCGAAAGGCCGTTGGCGGAGCAGGCGTCCGCACAACTTTTGAGAATGCTGATTCCAACAGACGAGCGGTCCTCGTGAGGTAGTTTCACCAGATCTTTGACCAGTCCCAATACCGTTGAGCGCACTTGACGCACTGTCGGTGAGGTGAATCCAAACCAGGAACTCGAAACGGGTGATAACCTCGACGAAGAGGCTATTGGGATCGGTAGTGTGCTGCTTGTAGCACCGAGTGGTGGAGGCCGCTTAGAATCGGTGGGAAAGGTGGATGCAGTTGCTATTTGGCTGACTTCGTACGCCGGGGGAGCGTCCGTGTCACCCAAGGGCATCGTGTCGTTCAATTCATTTGGATATATAGTCTGCGGTTTGTCGCTTTCGCTCGGTAGGATCATGGTGGACAGCGGCTACTGCCAAGACGAGATGAGGGACCGGCTTTGCCATCAGTGCCTGCGCAATGATCGAGGGAGGCGGTGCTGACACTTGAACAAGATCATCTCTGAAGTTGACCTACATCTGCAAAACCCGAGGATTCAACCTGCACATCATCGAGTGCAAAGCAGGACTGGGCATTCAAATAGAGTCGGCATGGATCAGGTCTGCCCAAATTCCCACCTGCGTTCACCGCACATGATTGGTCTCATTGCTCGTCTTGGCGTGTAGGACGCCTTCCGGCACCTGCTCACGAGCTCTGGGAAGCAAACACAGCGATCTCGTGGCTCTCTGCATGCGTATGTCTCTGAACTCGCAACTGTTGGCCCGAGCTAAGGAGTTCTGACATAGTCCCAAGACAATTAGTGCCTCTGAACCCGCATTCAAACCGAGGAAGGTGAAGAAGTCAGATGGTTCTTACCGCGACCGTGCCGCCGAGCGCAGAGATGGTGGGACAAACGACTTCGCTCATGTTGAAGCTGTGTTGGATGATTTCGAGAAGCGCGTGGGAGACTCAGCAGTGCGTGAATTGCTGCTCCATTCATGTGGTGGCTCGTATCCAATCTTACCATGTGTATTCGTAGACTGACGATCAGCGGCGCTACTTGGGGGGAGACGGCGAGCACTCAGTCCTTGTGAAAGGGCTAGACTTTGCGCTACTGGAACAAAACAAAGCCAAGGCATCCTCTTCGACCGTTGACGACGATTCACTCGAGCAGGCGTTTGTGAGCTCTGCTTCTCAGCCTAGGCCTGCGGTGGATGGAAAGCGAACGCGCGAAGAAATGCTCAGTGTCCTCAAATCGAAGCGCGCAGCAGCTCAGCCCACTGAGGTTATTAAAGATAGCAAATTCAAGCCAATAGGATTCAAACCTATCGGTATCGTGGAAGAGAAGAAGAAGACTAAAAAGAAACGGGTCAAACCAGATGGAGAGTTGGCCACATCGAAGAGCAAGAAAAAACGCAAGATCCAGGAGATTCCTGACGAAGTAGAGCCGACGGCAGTAGTCCCGAATGCCTCTGTCCCGCAACCCCCGGCTGTTGTTGAGGAAGATGACGATGCTGACTTGGATATATTTGCCGGTGTCATGGAGTACCAGGGACTTGAGCTGGACGATGATGATGATGCGGATGTCAATCCCTTGCCAGACCGCGTCGCGCACGAGCCTGAAGTAGAATCGTCCGTGCCTCCGCGGACGTGGTTTGCGGACGAGGAAAAGCCAGCGCCTCCCACAGCACTCGTCGTTGAGAGACAGATGTCCCTGCCACCTGCTGATGAAATGGAGGAGGATGAGGAAGAGGACAAGCCTGCGAGATTGATTCCACTGGCTAGTTCTGCACTACCGTCGATCAAAGAATATCTGGCAATGACAGGAGAGGACGGCGGTAAGAAGGGCAAAGGGAAGAAGAAAAAGAAGAAGGGCAAGAAAGGAGCGGATGATGACGACGACGACTAGTACTTGACGCGTGTGAGGATTGGACTTTGAACATTTACTGATATGCGTGCATTTGGATATCGTACTAGCGGCCAAACAATAATGATAAACGAAAGATACTTATTCTTCCCGTACAAAAAGCCATTTCTCTCCCACTTTCTGCATCCGTCCTCCAGAGGCGCCTGCGTCGGGAATCGAAGAGATATCCTGGCCGCCTCCAAGTACGACCGCGTCTGTGTCTCCGGACCCACTGCTCTGCCACTGACTACCACCGTCCTCCCGATAGCCACCGCCGTAGTGGTTCCCGCCACCGTGGTTCCCTCTGCCCGATCCTCTGAAGTTGCCGCCCCTGCCCCGAAATCCACCGCGACTACTTGGCTGGCCTTGACGGCCCCATTGTTGCTGCTGTGACACCTGCTGCTGCTGCTGCTTTTGGTGGGACAACTGCTGGGACGGTTGCATCTGGCCTCCGGACATGACAAAAGCCATGAGCTCCTCGGTCGACGGCGGGTAACCGTGTGTGACCTGCCACAAATTCCCAAGCGTCTCCCACGAAGTTGCGGCAGTGAAATCAAACGTCGCCAGATTAAAACTCTCGAGGCCCTGCTTGGACGGAATTTTATTCGAGACAAGGCTTGTAGCATCTACCGAGGATGGTAATGACATCTGATGATCGTGATTACTCGCAGCAGGCGCATCAGCGGGCTCGCGTTCTACACGCGGAGAGACTACGGGCGCGGGCGGAGATTTCGGTGGTGGTGCGACAAGATCGTCAGGTGGTTCCGGGGAAGGCGATGCGGGCCGGATATCTCTCCCGAATTCATCCTTCCCCGGTGCGGTCCTGGCGGGGGCTCGTCCGACGGGCTGTGGCGGTGCTGGTTCGGGCAGAGAAGGTCGACGAGGCGGACTGTAGGGGCGGACCTCGCGCCGCCCAGGAAATCGGCTTGGCGGACTGCGAGATCTGCTATCGCGTCGGCCACCTCTTCTGTCGTCTTTGTGCCCGTAATCGCGAGAGTCACGGTCGCGGTCACGGCTATCGTAGCGGCCAGGAGGGCCACGACGGAAGCTGGCTCGTTCGTCGTTTCTTCGATAGTCGTTGCCATCGACTCTCGGGTCCCTTCGGTCTCCCCCATTGGGCGCATATGGCGGTGGTGATACAGAAGGATAGGCAGGAATCGCTGCAGGAACAGGAGGCTGAGAGACATTTCCAAGACTGGCAACGAGAGAAAGCTGCTGCAGCAAAGCAGCCTGTTGATAGTTGGGCTGTAGAGGAGGAATCGGAATCGGAGGTGCTTGGCTGTGGTCCCATGTTAACAAACCACGACCGTAAAAAGTCAAAACAACTCACGCAGCAGCGTTATTGGCCGCAGCCTGTGTGAGCAGGGCAAGAAGTGTAGCCTGGGGATCGGCACTGGGAGCAGCTGGTGGCACGGCATATGATGGTATGACAGTCGGAGGAGGTGCGGCAGCGTGGAGACGCGGATCGGTCGGCACTTTTACTCCGTTATCTACGACAAACCAAGAATATTTCAGTTCGCTGTCTCACAGATCGAGGGCAGAAGGAACGCGAAAATGTGGTGAGATTATCAGGGTACTTAGCGAATACATGTTGCAACTGTGATATGCACCTTTTCCTGGTTCGTTGCTCACCACTTCTTTGAGCCGAGCTAGAACGGAGGCAGGGAACGTGCTCCCTTTCACCCATATATCGAGAACTTTTTTCGACTTTTCCTGGAGAAACGAGATGGCAAGTCAGGAACTGGACTAATTCGACAAGAGAACGCGCAGAAGACAAGACATGTGTGCGCAGCTGAAAGGGCTTGGAAGGGGGCGAAGAGGGCATCAGCATTATTGAGACTAACCTTTGCCTCTGGTAGTGGGACGGAAGCCATGTTTTGGAACAAGCCGTCAAGAATGCCTTCCAGCTTCAGTAGGAAGGTAGCGCAGTTACCAGGATGGGTGTTGATGTCGCCAGTAAGTCCATGCTTGGAAACTTGAGTACGTGCAGCTCGAGCCAGGGCGTCAAAGACGTAGAGACTCGATATCTTGGCAGCAGATTGCAACGACTTGTGTGTGCGAAAAAGGATAGAGACGAGCTGAGTGTCGTCCTGAGCCGACATAAGTTGAGATCGTATCAGAGCACGAAGGATTCAAGTAGCTCACCGCCATAGACTTGAGAGCGATCTCCGTCAAATTGTTCATCTTTGAGGCTGAAAGTCGTTTTGCGTTCACCACTTCTTTCAGCGCTGTCTCGAATTCCTACAACGTCGATAAGCCCGAGAATATGATGCCTTGTTGCATGACACACCAGAAGATGAGCCATGGCACCCGAAGGTCGGCCGCAGCAGGATGGCTTCGAAGTTACTGGGAGGAGGAGACAACTTCACTTTGATGTGTGTACACCTGTTTGGGATGGGCCGCCATTTTGGTCAAGTCTCGAATCACAGAACGGCTTTCCACACAATTTGAAGAGCTTAAAGTTCATCTTACCCACACTAGCGTTCCTGTTCGAATCTCGCGACAAGTTTACGTATGTTTGGGAATTATGGTTCTCAATCACTCTCTCAGCTCTCCTCGCGTGTCTCTAGTGCTGGCGATCTCTCAACCACTCTTCCCTCAAACTGACTGAATCGGCCATACTCTCTCGTTCTTGCTTCTCCACCCCGTACTCTAGCATTCAGCGATGTCAACTCGCGCCAAGTTGACGTTGGGAGCGTCCCTCGGGTTCGCCGCGTTGACAATATGGGGAGTGCATTTCCAGCAGGAATTGCAACATGAGGTTGGCAATTTTCACTTACCATCCCATTTGAAACATGACAAATGTCCAGGCCATGTACAAAGGTGTCATACGCGACGACGAACGCCGGAAAGAAAAGATGGAACAGCGAGAAAGGGACTTAGAGGAGTCGAAAAGGAAACGGGAGCTGTATGAAAAGTTCCAGCGCGTGGAGAAGGTTGATTGAGGTCTGCGTTGGCTGCATCCTTCCGAACCTTGCTTGAGGTTGCACCTCGCAGTCGTCAACCGCCTACCATGCGTGCCAGGGATGGAATCCATACCCTCGCCGCTACTCCCTTCGTTACATCCGAGAGGATGTAAATTTCCCTGCAGGCAGCGAATCTTATGTTCGCGATCCCCGAGACATACTTTAAGCAGAACTAATGCTATATAGGACTGAAAAGTCGTGCCACGGTTGGTGCGCACTCCGACCGTTCATTGAGATGAAGCTAGCTCTATGTAGTACCTGTGGCGATAAGCAGTCTCATCCTTTGAATCCCCGATACAGCGAGCATTGAGTCAACCCACGTTCAACGTCCAGCCCGTCGGCGTACGCATCGCGACCCGCAGGAGCCGGAAACATGTGGTGCTTGTTGGCATGTCAGTCGGCTACATGATCTGATCGAGGTCACTCTCCTTTGAATTTGGTGCAGTACGATCGCAATGGAGTTTCGTTTCTCTGGTCTCTCTTCTTCCTGCACCGCCAGGGTTTCCAGCCGCATCTCTCGTTCTGAGTCTAATGCCGGAGTTTTCGAGCACGATCATTAGTCTGTTTCACAGTCGAGCAGCGGCTCCTGAGCAGGTCAGTAGCAGTCCATCTCCACGTCGACATCGCCCCCGTGCGGGATGTTGACTTCATACGTTTGCCTAGGGTGGTCTGCTCAGTGGAAAGAATCCCACGGCCTACAACACTGCGGATCCGCTCAGGTTATGGATCATCCAAGTCGGTGAGCTGCTTGTCGTCGTCCCGACTGGGGCGCTGCCTCATCAGCTGGCTTGCTTCTAGGAATCATCGTCGCCACTGCGAGTCTCCTGTCACTTGTGCTACGCAAGATACGCCAGCCCAAAGTCATTGCTGAAGGTTGGTCTACCACTTATACCACATTCGCCGGATGGCATAACTGAAAGCTGCATGCAAGTTTTGGGTGGTATAATACTGGGTGCGTCAGGAACCGACATGGTGTCCAGAACATGTGCAGGAGACTAATGTGGTTCGGCAGGTCCCACCGCCTTCGGAGCCATCCCACACTTCACCGACCGTATATTCCCCCCGCAGTCCATTCCATATCTCTCCGTCAGTCCAGTCCACCTCGCCGCATCTGGCGCTCTCTCATGACCTACTCTCAGCTTGTAGCCAACATCGGTCTCGTGCTCTTTCTGTTCCTTGTTGGGTATATGGTTTATGACATAACCCATTTGGAACTGGCGTTCTAATCTATTTTCATAGTCTCGAAATTGATGGATCTATCATCAAACGGAACGCGCGCCTGTGCGTCACAACCGAGTTGGAAGCAGAGATTCCATCACTGACTGGAAATGCAGGTCTGCGAGCGTAGCTGCCGCTGGCATGATCCTTCCATTCGGCCTGGGGGCAGCTTTGTCTGTGCCATTGTATCACGAATTCATTCTCCCCGTCGCGCCAAACGTTCGGTTCACCTACTTCATGCTGTTCAGTGGTGTGGCGTTCTCGATCACCGCGTTCCCAGTGCTCTGTCGCATTTTGACCGAGCTTAAGCTGCTGGACACCACTGTGGGGATCGTGGTGCTCTCGGCTGGCGTCGGTAATGACATTGGTGAGTTCGGGACCCGGTCCGCCATCGATGACTTTTAACGTGTCCAGTGGGGTGGGTTCTTCTTGCGCTTAGCGTGGCACTTGTCAACGCTGGCTCGGGACTTACCGCCCTCTGGATCTTGCTCGCATGTGTTGGCTGGACACTGTTTTTGTTATTCCCGGTCAGGATAGCACTCCGCTGGCTGGCGTACAAGACTGGGTCCGTCGAGAATGGACCAACGATGCTCTTCATGACGGTCACCATCCTCCTGGTGTTCGGCTCTGCATTCTTCACTGATGTCATTGGCGTTCATGCTATCTTCGGAGCCTTTGTTATGGGACTGACTGTGCCCCGAGAAGGCGGTCTTACGATTGCACTGACTGAGAAATTGGAAGATATGGTGTCCATCATATTCCTACCCACTGTAAGCTTGGTCTGTTCGCAATGCAAGGCTTGCTCACTTTTGCAAGTACTTTACCATCTCGGGGCTCTCTACGAACCTAAGGCTCCTAGATACTGGTTTGTTATGCGTTTCTTCGAAGAAAATCACTCAAGGACGGTGATATAGGTATCACCTGGGGCTACACGATTACGATCTGTGTTCTCGCGTTTGTCGGCAAATTCGGCGGTTGTACCCTCTCTGCTCGATATCTTGCAGGTGCGTTTTGGTCGCGATTACCGGAATGTTCTTTGTCGACGCTCTCTAGGCTTCAACCTTCGAGAGGCAAGCGCGGTCGGATCATTGATGAGTTGCAAAGGGTGAGTCCCCAGTACATGCTCGCTTGGCGAGTTGACCCAAGCGGATAGGCTGGTGGAACTGATTGTGCTCAATGTGGGGCTCTCAGCTGGCATCCTGACACCTCGTGTGTTTTCCATGTTCGTGCTGGAGGCGCTCACTTTGACGTTCATGACCACGCCCCTCGTCACGGTTCTTTACCCGCCGGCACTGCGGGTCCGAGCAAGCGGAAGTGGAGCCAACTTCGATAATGTCAGTGGTGCTGATGAAGCTGGCCATCGCCAACGGGTACTTCGCGATGGAGCGCGGACGCGCTTTACGTTTGTTCTCGACAAAATCGAACACTTGCCCGGCCTCATGTCGATCGCCCAACTGATTCAACCTTCCGGCATCACGCAGACGTCATCTTCGGGGTCGTCTACTCCGGAAAACCGCCGGACTTCCAAATCAAGCGCATCTTCCGAGTCTTCCGAACTGCTATCCATCAGCGCATTGCGATTACTGGAACTGTCCGACCGTGTGTCTGCTGTCATGCGATCATCTGCCTCAGAGTCTTTGCTGCACTCTGATCCTGTCCTGTCTATCTTCCGAATGTTTGGCGAGCTGCATGACTTGCGCATCGACACAGCGCTGAGCATCGTGCCCTTTGACAACATGGCGCCAAGCGTGACAGAACACGCGCAAAGCACCGAAGCGGACATGATCGTCCTTCCGTGGTTGCCTTTCGCAACTCATGCCGATGGAGTTCCGACACTTGAGCCTCACGAAACTGCGCCAGTGACTCCGCGGCAGTCTCAGAATCCGTTCGACGCGCTCTTCAGGGCCACAGGCGGCGGAGATAGGTCTGCATCAGCTCTTCACGCTCAGTTTGTGCGGGGTGTCTTTTCGGATGCTCCAGTGGACGTTGCCCTGTGTGTGAATCAGGAACGAAGTGCCGTTGGTCACGCGGTGGGCAGCAAGCAGCATCTGATGCTCGTCTTCTTCGGTGGCCCGGACGACCGGATGGCTCTTGAGTTCGTCGTGCAGCTTTGCGCTGGGAGCACCCACGTCACAGCCACCGTGTTGCGGATGTTCAAGCGAGAGATGGACACCCATATGACGCCAATACGCAGCGCTCATTTTGGCCCGGAGAAAAACGAAGAGACCAATGCCTTGACTGTAGCATCTGTAAGTTCCCAGTGTCCGAATGTCCTTACTAAGGGACTCATTGTTTCGCAGGCCATGACCGGATTCCCCGACACAGTCTATGGGCATGTGTCCGACGAAACGAGAATGCAGTCTCAAACCGCAGACAGCGTCGCATGGGAAAAATACGCCACTGACGAAACCATCTCGCGCATCGATTTCCGAGAGATAACGACTCCGATCCCGCTTCACGCTGCGATCCATGAAAGCAGGATGTATCACGAATCGCACCCTTCGAGCCGGCTGCTGATAGTTCTCGGCCGGTCGCGCCGGCTCGCCGTTGAAAACCATGCCGGAGAACTGAAAGAGCTGACAGACGAGTATGGGGCTGTCGGCTCCGAGGTGCGCAAGACCATGGGTGATGTTGCCACTGCGTTTGTTGCCGCTGGCACTGGCTCGGGGCTGCTTGTGATGCAGGCCGCCAAACAATGAATAGATCTACACCCAGGACATTGATCCACAGACTACATGTTGGAAGTGCATATCTACCCCGCTGTTTGTAACGTATACCATCATCCGTGCTGCCTTCATCGAGTGTACGAAGGAGATAAGATCACTTTGCAGTGATCTTGTTGATCGTGTTTGTCCGCAGAGGTGTGTCGGCAAAGAGGGCCCTGACCAGTCTCACCAGCTCGTCAATGTCGAAATCGACCAGGGACCCGCTGTCAAATAGATCCGAAATATCCGCCATCGAGGCTTCCAGCAGCTCAGAGAGATACGAAAACTTGAGCCAGCAAGGAACGTAGGCCCACGCGAAAGGTTGCTGTTGGGAGTGTTCAGCCTCAGCTAGATACGTTTCATGAAAAGGGTAATGACCTGGTTCGTATCCTCAACAAAGAGAGCCTCGAGAACATTCAGCATGCGGCACAGTTCGCTCAGCCGCTGTGATTCCACTTCGGTAATATCCGGCAGCTCTAGGATGTCTTCGAGAACACGAGACAGAGCAGTGTCGACTAGGATGCCGACGGCGGAATAGTACTTGCTTTTGTTGAGCACAGGCTGGACATCGTTATTCAGTGGCGAACCTATGCGCTAGTCACAAGGGTTTCTGCCACACACCTTCCATCGCTGGGACACGGTCTTGATGTCTCTCACGACCTGGTTGATGGCAGTTTCGCACTCGTCATATCTGTCCT